TTTAGAATAAGCTGTTGCACGTAACGGAGTAGACTTCTGGCTCCCTATCCGTGGAGGATCGTTCCTCAGGACTCCGTGACTGGGCTGGGGACTGCAGCTGGGTGGTGGTCAGGGAGGAGAGCAGCGAGAACCCCTGCACAGTCCAGAGCCACCTTCCCATGCCAGGAGAGGTGAAAGCCAACAGCGGCCAGGCAGAGCTGCTCCTCAGGGAGCAGAAATGGGAAAACAGCTCAGGCAGGGCTTGCGTGCAGGTTTGTCCCAGGTACACAAGGAGCCCCATCACCTGCTTCTCCCCAGAAGTTTTCCATCTCGTAACCAGCATGGAAGAGGTCTCTTGGGAAAACCCCTCACGGCTCCAGTTTTGAGGACACAGACGAAGCACGTCCCGAACGCGGGGATGGAGTTCAGAGCCCTGGCCATGAGCTGAAGTCCCCCCTCCTCGGAGCCGCTGTCCGTCTAACCCAGGCTGTGCCCCAGGCGCGTCCCCGCTCCCCACACCGGACCCACGCCCCCGTTACCGGCAGGTCCCGGCTCCGCGGCGCCCGGCACAGGCCCGGCTGCTACCGCAGCGGCTGGCACGGCCAGGGCAGGACTTTATCAGGCCAGAGAGGTGCGAGATGAAACCACCGGCCCCGGCCAGGCGAGGGGGGCACCGGAGGGAAGCCGGGACAGATCGATCCCAGGCTCCTTCCCGGATCTGGCGTCGAGCCCCAGCTCCGACACCCGTCCCCTGGGCAGCCCCGGCCGCGGCACCCGGCAGCAGCGCCGCTCCCCCACCGGCTGAGCGAAGGGGACGATGCCGCCCGCGCCCGTCCCGGTGCGTCCTGAGGCCGGGCGCGTTAAACCCGACGGCAGCACCCACAGACCCACACCCGTGACAACCCCGACCGCCACCGAGCCGGGTCCCCGCAGCACGCAGGGCTGGGAAAGGGAATTTTCTCCCTCTGAAGACCCAGACTAAAGGAGAACCCAGCGCAGACGGCGCCGAGGGAGCGGCCGGCGGGTGCCGGCGCTCGGGCACAGCTCGCCCAGCGGAGGGGCCGCCCGGGCTCTGCTCATTCTCTTTCAGTGTAAACTGGTGAATAGCGGCGGACCCGATCGCGGCGCGGCGCAGGGCGACACGCGTGTCCCGACCCCCGGCGGGCGCCCGGAGCTGCGGGGTGCGGGATCGCCTCGCACCCGCCCGGGTCCGCGGTGCCGGGGCAGGTCCGGCGGGATAGGGACCGCGGCGGCTCGGCGCACTCACCCGCGACAGGTCCCCGGCTGGCTCGGTGCGGCGGAGGCCCCGGCCCCGGCGGCGAGCGCGGGGCGGGCGGGGCGGGCGGCGCTGTGGGGCCGGCGGGCGGGCGCCGCCGAGCACAGGCATCGGGAGGGGGGCGGGCGGGCGCGACACACACCGGCATCAGCCGGGACCCATCGCCGGGCGGGGAAAGGCGGGGCCTGACGTCACCCCACTGAGGCGGGGCGGGCAGCGCGCCTGCGCGCCAGTCAGCCGGGGCGGGGCGGGAGCGCGCGCGTCGGGAGCGCGGGTGTCGGGAGCGCGGGGAGGGCGAGGCGCGGGCGGGCGCGGGGAGCGCGGGGCCTGCCAGGTCCGTCGGGGCCTCGAGCGGGACGCGAGGAGCGGGTCTGGCAGGGTGCAGGTGCTGAGGCGCTGGCACAGGGTGCCCAGAGAAGCTGTGGCTGCCCCATCCCTGGCAGTGTTCAAGGGCAGGTTGGACACAGGGGCTTGGAGCAAGCTGCTCTAGTGGAAGGGGTCCCTGCCCGTGCAGGGGTTGGAGCTGATGAGCTTTAAGGTCCCTCCCACCACAAACCTTCCACTGTAGCAGGTCAGGGATCAAGCAGAGACCAGATATCTTTTAAATGAAACGTGGCTTGGCAGCATCATCTGTCTTGAGACACCAGCTTTGGACGGGAGATGATTTTCCAGCTGCCCGGCTGTGCACGTCATCCCGCTTTCCCTGCATCCAGAGCTGATGGTCAGGCTTTTACGTCACTGTAAATACGATGTCGCTCACCTAAAGCCATTGGCTTTGCAGCATGGTCCCACCCGGGTCAGCAGCGGCAGGGACAAAAAGGCTGCAGGTCCTCCGAGCGCTGTGAGTTCAGACACTCCATTTTCCATCAGCCCCAGTGCTCGGGCCTGTTGGCTCTCCCGGGTTTGGAGCATGGCTATATCTCATTGCAAGCCCTGGGAATTGCAGCTCTCCAGGTTTTCTTTTAAAGAAATTAGTGTTCACAGAGGAAATGTGGACTTCTAACAGGTCAGAAACAGGGATCCAGATCAGCAGAGCATGTCTGTGAGCCAGTACAAATGGTTTTCAACCTGTGGCTTTTTGGTGCTTGTGATGGGTGACTGAGGGTGGCATTTTCTCCTCTCCAGGCAAGTGGCTTTCCCACCCACTCCATCACATGCCAGGCCTAACCTGACCTGTCTGGGAATAGGAAAGGAAAAAAACACCACTGTTCCTGATGTATTCCTGGCTCCAGTCAGAGCACCTGGACCTGCAGGAATTGCCCCCATTCCCAAGGGAGCAGGCCACCTGAGCCTTGTTCCCTGTGACTTTCACAGGGTGGGAATTTCACCCCATCCAGCTGTGCTGGCTCCGTGTTTCTGCCTCTCCTGTTTTGCTGAATCGCCCCTTTCACAAGCCTCTGGAGTTCTGTGTTGGTCCAGCGAAAGAGATGGCAGCCGCTGCCCTGCCAGCCCTCGCCAGCTCCTGCAAGAGCTTGTCTCTGCTGAGAGAAGGGGCTGTGGTAACAGAGAAGCTCTTTCACATCCCAGCCTGTGGCTGGGATTCCCTGGAGGGGCATGGTGGAGGGATGATGGTTGGGAATTGTACCCGTTGGGTTCATTGTGTCCCAGCCCTGGGGTCTGCAGGATGCAAACCAGTGCCCTGGGTGAGACCCGCTCCAGTGGCATCACAGAGCGAAGGACAGATCTGAGGTGGCACAGCCGGAGGTGGTCGGGCTCCAGGCTGCAGCACTGGTGCCAGCCCATGCTCCTCGGGGACCATGGCCATGCCTGGCCACCCTCAAGAGCTGCTTCCCATCCAGCTCCACTGAAGGCAGAGCTCTTGGGCACACGAAGCTGCTGGGAGCAGGCTGCCTGCCTTAGCTGCCTTGTCACAGCCTTTGGGAAGTCCCCAAGGGCCTGGACCTCATGTCCCAGCCGTGCTTGGTGCTGTAGGGGCACAGGGGGATCTCCATGCCTGCCACTGCCAGCAACCTCAGCTGTATGGCACAGCTGAGGGCAGGGAGGCACAGGGAGGTAATGGGGCTTGCCTGGGGATGAGCTCTGGTGTTTCTGCCGTCAACCCATGGGCTGTGAGCAGCCTGGGTGGTTTGGTCCCTTCTCTTCAGGGGATAAAGCAGTCCGAAGCAGCCACGCTCTGGCACTTCCCTGCTGTCCCGGAGGAACATCAGCTCCATGAGGGATGGGTGGAAGAGCCCCGTGCCCACACCAGCAGAAGACCCTACCTTCCCCAAGCACCACCAGCTCTCCCGCAGACCAGCAGCTGTGAGCACTCCAAAACCCCTTCACAGCAGGTTGGGGTCAGGGCAGAGCCCACACCAGCCACATCCCTCCTCCTGGAGAGTCCTGGTCCAGGGGGAGCCAATGCACTGTTTGGGGGGCACAAACACCCCCCCCTTCCTGCCTCAGTTTCTCACTGGAGCCCCCCAGCTGTCCCTGCATCGCTGCCCCACTGCTGCCAGGCCCACTGAGGTCTGCAGAGCTTCACTTGAAGCCTCTGCTTTTGCCTTTCTTTCAGCTCCTGCTTTCTCTTCTCATCCCACTGGAGATAATGCAGAGCAGGGGAGTCCCTGGGGCTTGGCCACCCACTCCCTCCCTTTATGTCTTGTTGAAGACTTCCCTGCTGGGCTTTGCTTTTGTGGTGCCTCTAAAGTGATGCTGTCTGCTGCTTTGTGTCCCAAAGCTTTCCTAAGGCTGGAGGGGTGGAAGGGGCATAAAAACTCACCCAAAAAGACAGGAAGCCACAATGATAGAGGTGGGGAGGTGATATGGGGCTGCTGGGTGAAGGACATCCTGGGGCAATGTGGGACAGGGAGGGCTCGATGTTGGAATAAGGCAGCACTCTGGTCGGGGGGGGGGGGGGGGGGCAGGTGTGTGGAGCCCCAGGGTGGGTGCAGAGGGTAGAGCAAGGCTCCCTGTGGCACAGCAGCAGTTGTGGGTGGGGGGTTCTGCAGGAGGGCACGGACATTCCCTGTGTCCCAGCCAGGGCTGCCTTCCCCGGCTTGCTCAGGGCAGGGGCTGGCTGGTGTGAGAGAGCCCAGAGCCCTGGTGTGCTCCTGGCCTCAGGCTGTGCAGTGACAACTCACCCACATTCACGCTCCCAAAGGCTGCCGTTATTGAGCAGCAGCTAAAATTAGAGCCTCCAGAACCTTGGTGCAGCCTCGTTCCTCCCTAGCAGCACCCTTCGTGTTCCTCCCTGACTGAGCCTGGCCAAGGTGCACCCAATCTTACATCAAGGGCCAATTAAGTGAGCAACACAGCAACTACCACCCTACCCACCCTTCATGGTCCTAATGACACGATAGCAATCCCTATAGACCTGAGGGAGAGGGGTTTTGGACTAAGGGCCTGTAGGGACAGGACAAGGGGGAATGGCTTTAACCTGCCAGAGGGGAGATTGAGATGAGCTCTTCTTCCCTCCGAGGGCAGAGCTTTCCCAGAGCCGTGTGCTCAGCCTGTTCCAGCACGTTTTCCAGAGGGCTCAGTCCCAAGAGCCCGTGCTTTGTGTAGTTTGTGCCCTGAGGGGTTAAGCTCTGGGAGATCTGGTCTGGAAAAGGGAAGGACTGCGTTTAGGAATTCCGGCCCGGTGGGTCAGGCAGCGGGATGCTGGGCTGGGGGGGGAGGAAGGGGCTCCATCACTGCCAGCAGCTGCGGCTCCGCAGGGAGCAAACGAGCGGGCAACGGGACATAAGCGCTGCCTGGAGCGAGCCCGGCTGCTGCCCAGGGCCGCGCTCCGTGCCTTGGGAGCCCGCCCCTGGCTCAGGTGAGAGGAAGGAAGCGGCAGGTACGGGAGGAGGAGCGGAGCGGAGCGGGGTGGGTGCTGCTGGCAGGGAGCAGCCCCGCGGTGCAGCGGATGCTGAGGTTCAGGAGCCGGGCAGGTAACGGGAAGGTCCCGGTCAGTTGGAAGCACAGGGAAGGGTGCGCTGCTGCGGGGGGGCCGGCTCGCTGGTGCTGGGGAAGTACCTGGCTTGTTCCGGGAGGGGGGTTAGCTGCGCTGGGTGGGAACTGTGTTGCCTGCACAGGGAAGGTTTTCTCCCTTTGCCCTCTGTGAGAGCTGCGTGGTGGAGGGCTGGGATCACCCTGGGGTTGAGGGTGGGGATGCCCCGTTCCTCTGCAGGGTTTATTTGTTGACCGTGGGTTGGTGTCCTCGGGGTGGCCTGAAAACCTTTTCTGCTACCCTGTCCACCTATTGATGTCCTTTCACAGTAACTTGTTCTTTGTGCCCCTGATGGACCTGCTCCATCCATGGTGGGGCTGGGGGCTGCAGGGAGGAGTCTGAGCCTTTTCTCTCCGTTTCTCCAGCTGTCCTGGGTGAAGCCCACAGGGACTTAACAAGCCAAAAGCTGTACCAGAGCCATCCTGTCCCTTGAGCACAACTCAGCAGTGTGCAGACAGAGGTTTGGGGATGGGGCTGCTGCTCACTGAGGCCATGGGATGTGAAGTTCCTGTGGGAATGCTGGCCCTGCAGAGGGGATGAAGCCCTCTCATGAGGCTGTGTGCGCTGCTGAGAAACACTCCACATCACCATGAAGGTGCTGCTGAGCATAGGGCTGTTCCTGAGGGCTCTTCCCAAGCCCACACGCAAGCAGCACAGGCTGTGTGGCTTTATCTGCCCAGGATGCTCCCTATGCACTTTCCAGGTCTGGGTCTGTCCCAGTTGGGAGCCCACCAGCGCTGCCCTGGGGCACTGGGGCCAGCCCGACTGTTCCCTCTCTCCCTGCAGCGAGGAGCTCTGTGCTGTGTGCTCCAGGCCCTGCAGCTGGAATGCTGCCTTGTCCCGGGAAAGCTGGGCTCAGCAGGTTGGTGAGTGGCCCCGCTCACAGCAGAGCTGCTGAAGCTTCGGGAACAGCCTCGCACTTCCCTGCATCCTGCCCTAGGGAGCCTCTGGGCTTTGGGCTGTTCCTGGCTGTCAGGGAGAGGTGGGGGGGCCAGAGCGTGGGGCAGGGACATGCAGACCACGTTCCAGGAGGGATGGCTGGGAACAGGACGAGGCTGAGCTTGTGCAAAACGGGCCAGAGAAGCCGGGTGCCTGCACAGGGGTTGTCCTCATCCCTCTGGGTAAGGAACCAGCTCTCACCAGCCACCCCTTGGGTTGGGTGTGCACCAGGGGCTGTGCTGAGAGCCCCCGGGACACTCTGCCGTCGGCTGACCACGCTGCTGGCACAAGAGGCTTCCTTTGGCTCACCCATGGTCTTTCTGAAGTGCTCATCCTGTGTCCTCATCCTCTCCTTGAGGCAAGGTGGGCTGTGGAGCTCGGGAAGCTGCGTGGTTCCCAGCCCCTGGTGTGATGTGCTGACACCAAGACTGTTGTCCTGCTGATCCCAAGTGCTGAGCTAATGGCATCTCTCCTCCAAGCTGGAGGCAATAACTTGTGCTCTGGCTTCTCCCCCATTTCCTGTGCTCACAGCCTTTGGCTGATCTTCTGCAAGGCCCTTCACGTGTGTGCCTCAGTTTCCCTAGGGAAACTTGCCTGTCCCCATGGTGTGGCTGAGTCTGCAGCTATGAGATGACTTCTCCTCATGTCCTCACCTTGCATTTAGCTGCTGGAGCCCTCTTCCCCACCTGAGTCTGTCCCTGTCTCTCGTTGCAGTCTCAAACCATGAACTACGTGGGGCAGCTTGCTGAGACTGTCTTTGTCACGGTGAAGGAGCTGTACCGGGGCCTGAACCCCGCCACGCTGACGGGCTGCATCGACGTGGTGGTGGTGAGGCAGCCCGATAACTCCTTCCAGTGCTCCCCATTCCACGTGCGCTTTGGGAAGCTGGGCGTGCTGCGCTCCAGGGAGAAGGTGGTGAGTGGTGTCTGCCCCGGGACTGGGCTTCTGCTCACCCAGTATCTCCCATAACCCGGGGGTTATGTGGGTTATGTGTTTGAGGGGAATGGGAGCCCTGCTCAAAGCGGGGCTTGCCAGTGTTTGGAGGGGAGCCTGGCTGGCTGTCAGCCCCATCAGCAATCCCAACCCATCTGCTCACTTGGGAAATGCCTTCCTGCTCACTGATGGGTGACAGACAGGCTTCTTCTGTCCCTTGCTAGGTCGACATTGAAATCAATGGGGAGCCTGTAGACCTGCACATGAAGCTGGGTGACAATGGAGAGGCTTTCTTTGTCCAGGAGTCAGAGGAGAGTGAGGTTGGTGATGAAGAGCTGCTGCTGGTCTGTGTCCTGCTGTGACCACCTGGAAGTGTAGGGTTGAGGTGGAAGGAGCAGCTTTGGATTGCTCCTCTTCCCTAGGGTAACTGCATTATCCCGCTGATGCTCTGTGTGTCCAGACAGGTTCCTACGCAAAGGACATTGCAGGCAGTGTGGTGGATCTGAACAGTGGAGCACCCTGAGGGCCTGAGTATCTGAATCTTAGTCTGGTCTCCATCAATGGGCATGGCTGCTGGCCAGCCAGGCAGACACCTCGGATCTTGGCCTCTTGAGGATCTTGTGACAGGGATGGGAGGAAGCCAGAGGCTGTGGCAGGCTGCCCACTCCACTGGGAAGCAGGATGAGACTGGCTGTGGCTTCCAGAGCTCTTGGCAGCTCCCTCCCATGTGGACTTGTGGTCGCTGCTGGCTTGGGCTGGGTTTGAGAGCAGGGAGAGGGCTCTAGAGCTGAATCCCAGCTGCAGTCTTTGTAATTCTGGTCCTGTGGTGCCATCTCCTGCCTGCCTCTCCTTGCCCATGTTAAAGATGTCTTCAGCACGTGGCTGGATACCCCAAGTTGTTTGTGGCTTGGGTGTTTTGTGTGTCACCCATGGTGCCATCCCCGTCCCCCCCTCCCAGTTGTACATACAGAACGTTTCCTTTCAGGTCTAGCCACAAACCCACCCCCAAATTGAGAGCTCCATAGAATTATCTAGGTTGGAAAAGGCCTTTAAGGTCACCAGGTCCAACCATGATGTTGGTTGTGCTGGTGGAACATCTTGCGTAGGCAAGAGCCGTGAGCGGCCAGGCTGGGAAGCAGGGTGCTGGTGCTGTTGGGCTCTCCCATCCCTGCTGCAGGGCAGCATCCCTTCCCACCTCTGCACGTCACCCATCCCCATGGAGCAGAGCCTGGAGGAGGATGCTCATGGACCGGAGGACACCAGCACTGAAGTGACCTTGCACAAGAGGAGGTGACGCAGGAGAAAGCCCAGGAGGAAGGAAGGGTCAGACTCACTGTTAGAAGGCTGCGAGGAGACCAGAAGTGGGATGTCCATGGAGGAGCCATGTGAGCTGGCAGCCCCAAGGTGATCATCACTTGCTGGTGCCCAGCAGAACTGAAACACGAGGAAAGTGTTTCCAAGTTGGACCAGACTCCTGTGGAGTAGAAAGCCAGTGGAAATGGGAAGTTGGGGGTTGCCAGCTTTCCAGGAGAGACCTGGTGCCTGTGAGCAGCATCACGGACTTCTTTCCCTCTTTGCAGTGATTCAGTGTATTTCTCCTTTGCTGATCTCCCTGAAGAAGGAGCCATGTCACTGCAGTCCCTGGAGATGCACCCTTACTCTGATGGGGAGCTGGCCTCTGTGGACAGGTAATGAGCAGAGCCAAGTCACCTTGGCTTTGGTGACAGCAGGGCACCAAAAGGGACTTAGGAGCGGCAGGAGAGGGGGTCCCATATGGTGTGGCTAGAAGAAAGCTGAGAGCCCCCAGGTGACACTTCTGGCCATGGTCACAGACACAAGGGGCCTGTGTGTACAGGGCTTTGCTGCTGACCTGCATAGCACTGCTTCCTCAGGCCTCAGCTTATGGAGTCACAGCCTGGTTTGTGTTGGAAGGGACCTTAAAGCTCCTCCAGCTCCAACCCCTGCCACGGGCAGGGACCCCTTCCACTAGAGCAGCTTCCTCCAAGCCCCTGTGTCCAACCTGCCCTTGAACACTGCCAGGGATGGGGCAGCCACAGCTTCTCTGGGCACCCTGTGCCAGCGCCTCAGCACCCTCACAGGGAAGAGCTTCTGCCTAAGAGCTCATCTCAGTCTCCCCTGTTTCAGTTTGAACCCGTTAGGGTTCAACCCACAGGACTTGCTCATTTGTGACAGCCTCAGGGCAGAAGTGACTCTGTAGGAAAGCAGCCTTACAGGGCTCTTGGCCCTCAATGTCCTTGCAGTGAAAGCATAGGGCTGTAGAGTAGATGAGGTCTCACATTGCCTTTTCTTCTTGCAGCCCCACCATGAGCCATCCGCCCTCTCCTAGAAGCGATTCTGAGCTGGAGATCAGACCCCAGGAGAGCTTCCCTCTGGGGACTGAGTCCCACATGCAGTGGACCTGGGGAAGGCTCCCTCAGGTGAGTCCCTGCTCTCGCCCTTGTCCAGCAGCTGGTGGCAGGGCTGCAGAGAGTGGAGGAGGCTGTGGCCAGGCAGCCTTGGAGGTGTCCTCTAAGCAGCACTGATGCGTTGGGCAACTTCCTGTCCTCAAACCTGTTCTGCTTTCCTTAGGTGAATAGATCCGAACGAGTTGAACCAGCCAAGTCCACCAAGAGCATTGCTACTGCAGAAACCACAATCTCTGTGGCACTGGCCCCAGAGGATGAGGTAACCCATCTTGTTGCCACCTCTGAAGGTCTGGGAGCAGATCTGTGCCCAGCAGGACCTCAGGCCATACCCTGTTCCGCTGCTGTGTCTGTTATGGAGCCAACACCTGCACCACGGCATGGGAACAGCTTCCCCAAGGAGCAGGATGTCCCCAGGGCTGTGAGGGCAGAGACCTTGTTGGACACCCCCTTGCCCCCACGGGCGGGAGGCAGGAGCGTGGTGCCCGAGGTTCAGCCAGATGCTGCTGTGGGGCAGGTGAACTTGGAGCGCCCTGAGCCCCATCTGGGAAGCCAGAGGAGACAAGGTGGGTGGTGAGGGGGTGGCTGGTGCTGCTGGGAGCCTGCGGGTGGACCTGACCTGAATGGAGGGCTGAGGTCTTCACTCAGTGTAACTTCCCCAGCATTGGGCACTCAAGGTGTGCTGTGTGTGCTTTGCCCTCTCCTTGTGCTGCCAGCTCCTATGTTTTGAGGAGACATTCCTCAGCTCCCCTCCTTTCAGTGGATCCCCAGGAAGGTTTCTTGCCTTGTTTCCTGAGGTCCATGCTTGGATGCCTCTGCTTTTTGCATGTTTGGAAGATTTCTCAGCAGTGTAGACCATACCTTAACTTGAAGTGCCCGGCAGCACCTGGCTGGGCTTGTGTCTTCATCCCAACCCTGCCAAGCCAGGTGGAAAATCACACAGAGCAAAGGATGATTCCCTTGACAGTGTATTTAAGGAATTTTATCCTGGTTTCCTGTTCTAACCAACCTCACTCTTCCAGGCAGCATAATTTGAGAATGAAATTGTCTCCCTGAAGAAGAGACACTTGGGATTCCTCACTGGACAAAGAGGGAGATCACAAAGCATTGTCTTGCATGGTGCTAACTTCAAACAGCACCTCCATGTTGTCACAGCAGATCATAGGCAGGAGTCTGCCCTGTCCTTTGTGTCCTCTTGGCAAGTGGTCTCATGTCAGTGCAGGTGTCTTGTGGTACTTCTGTTGCTGTTAAGGCAGCTTTTCCAATAAGAAACGAGAGGCTCTCTTTAAATGATGTACAAATGTGCTGTTAGCTTCCTTGATAGATGGTAAGGTGGCTGGAAAGGAGTTTCAGCTAAGCTCTCTCCTTTCTGTCTGTGCCTTGAGGAGCCATCAGCCTCCAGCCCGGCTGAGGAGCAGGCAGCTCGCTGTCTCCCCAGGAGGTGAGGGCTGTCCGTGCTGGCAGAGCTCAGACCCTGAGCAGTGCCCCTGCAGCAGGGGTGTCCAAAGCTATTGCCGGTGCTGCCATTGTTTTGCTCTCTTGCAGTGACCCAGAGCTCAGTTCAAAGCCCGTGGCAGCCCCCAGCAGCGCTGTTTGTGCCCAGTTGCCCCTCCATGTGCCTGCTGAGAGCCCCGCGGCCGCCCTGTCCCTGTGCGGAGGGCTGGGGGGCAGCAGGCAGCTCCCTCACGGTAGGTGGGAGCAGAGGGGGGACCTGCTGCCCCCATGTTGTGCACCAGTGGTGTGACACAGCCTCTGTCCCGCCAGGGAAGTTCATGGAGCGTGTGGTCTCCTACCAGCAGTTTGCTGAGAACCCGGGGCTCATCAATGACCCGAACCTGGTGATACTGCTCAACAAGAAGTGAGTGCCTCTCGTTTCCTGCTGCTTCATCCCGACGCCACCAGTGCGAGCCCTACAGAAACACTCCAGCAGGAGTGGGACTCCATCCCACACAGTGCTTATATCACAGTAGTTGTGGCAAGGGACCCTCTGGCCACACTGCAGGGTGGTGATCTGGAAACAGCCCCTGCTCCAGGAGTGGCGATGTTTCCACCCCTCTTGCTTCTTCCAGGTATTACAACTGGGCAGTGGCTGCTCCCATGGTCCTGTCCCTGCAGGCTTTCCAAAGGAACATTCCTGAGGTCAGTGGCACAATCCATTTACTGGCCATGCTTTTCGGCAGGGCTTGAATTGTTGTAGTGGGGCTGCAAGAAGCCAAGCTGCCCATGTGGGGCTTTGTAGGCAGAGCTGAGCATTCCTCGAGTCCAGCAAACCCTGAAGTCTGCCCTTCAGAGGGGCCTCAAGGTGACTTTTAGGGTGGTCTTAGCCTGTTGGCAGCTGAGCCTCCCTGGGCTGAGGGCTGCCTTCATCCCCTGTTCACAGAGCACTGTTGACCAGCTGGTGAAGGAAAAGATGCCCAGGAAAGGCAGCAGGTGGTGGTTCTCCTGGAGGAGGAGAGAATTCTCATCAGAGGTGTGTTTGAGCACTGGCTGTGGTGCCCATGTCCCAGGGGAGGAGCGCAGCAGGGTCCTGGGCATGGCCTGAGGCTGGGTACCAGGGCAGCCAGACCTGTTGGCAAGGTGGCTTGTGAAGGTTGCTGCTGTCCCCTCGGGTCTGTTAATGGCTGGTCAGCAGGACAGTGCCTGGTAATGTGGTGGCATGGACCTTGTGATGGTGCCACGTGCCCTTCATGCCGCAGCCCACCCGCCATATGTGTGTGCTGGTCTCCCTGTGCAGCCACAGCACCAGGTTGTGGCTCTTCCATGGAGCAGTGTCCTCATGAAGTCAAGGGGATTCATTGCCACCTCTTCCCTGGTATCACTGCTCCAAGTGGCAGTAAAGCAAGGCAGCTCCTGCGCTTGGCACGGGGGTGCTCATGACACCACTCTGCCTGCAGGAGCAGCTGAGGCCAGGGAAAGCCAATGTGAGGATGCTGCAGCCTGTCTCTGCTCAGCAGAGGTGAGTGCCTCCACCCCAAGTTGCCTTTAGGAGTCTCTGCATGCTGCTGGTCTCTTCTCCTCCTAAATGACCAGATATCCCCATGTCTATAGCATGTGTGAGGGCAGAAAGCTCTGTTAAGGCTCTGGCTGACCCTGGTCCAGCCAAGCTCCTCCATGGCTACTTCCTGGGTGGGTTGTCCTGGGTATGCTTCAGATCTCTCCTGGTGCTCACAGGGAAAGCCGTGGTCTGCAGAGTGAAGCCACCATGCTCTTCCCTTTGTATAGGCAGGAAGAGGGGTCATCCTGTGATGAAGAGCCCCTGTGCCCCGGGGACATATTAGCAATGGATGATCCTGAACAGAAATCTCTGCCAACCTACAAGAAATCCCTGCGGCTGTCCTCTGAGCAAATAGTATGTTCTCCACTGCTCCTTCAGTGCTTGTGTGGTGGGGTGAGACAGCCCTCGGACAGGGATTTCTCTACTCCTGACTTGTGTTTTTATAGGGCACCCATGTATTTTGCTGTGGGTGGCTACCCTGCAGAGGTTTAAGGTCTCTGGTCTGTCTGGGTGGCAGTCTGGCCCATGACAAGCCTTGGGCTGGCATGAACCCGTGCTGATGTACTGCTTTGTTCCTCCTGCGCCCCAGGGAAGGCTGAACCTGCAGGATGGCCCTAACGAGGTGGCGTTCAGCGTGACAACCCAGTACCAGGGCACGTGCCGCTGTGAGGCCACCATCTACCTGTGGAACTGGGACGACAAGGTGGTGATCTCTGACATCGATGGCACCATCACCAAGTAAAGGGCTCTTCTCCCTGCTCCTGATGTTAGGGAACATGCCCTTGCAAGGGTTGTGTGTGCAGCCAGGAGGGACCAGAGACCTGTCCTGGTGGAGATGGGTACCCCACCGGCTTGGATCAGCCTAACCTGGTCTCATTCCCTTCTAGGTCAGATGCTCTCGGGCACATTTTGCCACATCTGGGAAAGGACTGGACTCACCGTGGGATTGCTAAGCTCTTCCATAAAATCCACCTGTAGGTGTTGGATCAGGTGAAGCCAGGGAGAAGCGGGAGGATGGTGAAGGAGAGGCTGGGTGGAGATGGAGCGGTTTGGGTTGAAAGGTCCTTAAAGCCCTTCCAGTTCCACCCCTGCCGTGGGCGCGGGCACCCTCCGAGGGCTGCAGGAGCTGCGCCCGCACACGGCGGACCCCAGCCTGAGTCCCCTCGGCAGTGGCCGCTAGGAGGCACTGTGGGCCCGCGGGTGGGGACCCGCCATGGGCAGGAGCCGTGGGGCCGAGCCGTGAGGCCGGCGGGGACCGGGCTCAGACCGGGTCCCTGTAGGGTCGCGCTGTGCCTGAAGCCGCCCGCTGCTGAAGGGGAGAGCGGGGTCGGGCTGAACAGGTTGGGCCTCCTCGTGTTCGGAGGCGCAGGAGGCTGCCCTGCCCGAGGGCTCCCTGCTCTCCCGCTAGGAATGGCTACAAGTTCCTGTACTGCTCAGCCCGAGCCATCGGCATGGCGCACATCACCAAAGGCTACCTCAAATGGGTCAACGAGCAGGGCTGTGCGCTCCCCAAGGGCCCCATCCTGCTCGCCCCCAGCAGCCTCTTCTCTGCCTTCCGCAGGTACCACATCCTGTCCTGCCAGCCCTGCATCCCATGTCCCTGGGGATGTCACCCCTTACCCCAGGTTGATGCTGAGGGATGTCACTGCCTTGAACTGTTTCTGCCCTCCCTGGGAAGCTCCTCATGCACAAAACCTCTCTTGCCCTTCCCATCACTTGTCTGGCCCCGGGCAGCCTGGCTGCCCCCAGTCCTGAGCAGCTGATGCCAACTGACCTCTGCTCTGTGCTTCAGGCAGGTGATTGAGAAGAAGCCAGAGGTGTTCAAGATCGCCTGCTTGAAGGACATCCAGAACCTGTTTGCCACCCAGCTGCCCTTCTATGCGGCTTTTGGGAACAGAGCCAACGTGAGTGGGTCTCGTGGGGAGAAGGGAGGGCTGGGGCTGGGGCAGTGGTGCCTTCCTGCAGCTCTCATGCCTCGCTGGCCTGCCTTGGGCAGGATGTCTGTGCTTACAAGCAGGTTGGCCTGCCAGAGAGCCGCATATTCACAGTCAACCCCAAGGGAGAGCTGATCCAGGAGCTCGCAAAGAACCACAAGTCAACGTAAGCAATGGGCCTGGTCCTCGGCATCTTTGGGTTAACCTGGCTTTAGCCCTGAGAAGCATCTTCTGGGGTAGAAAACAAAGCCCCAGTGACCTCAGTGCAACTTCTCTCTTGCCCCCCTAGGTACGAGCGGCTGTCGGAGCTGGTGGAGCTCATCTTCCCTCCTCTGGGCCAGAGCAGGAGCATGGCTCTGGTGTGCCCAGAGTACAGCCACTTTGCCTACTGGAGACCCCCACTGCCTGCTGTTGACTTGGATGCCTTCTCCTGACCTTATTGCCTGCGGAGACCTGACCCAGGGCTCTCCTGTGCATCCTCTGCCAGGATGGGATGCTCCAGATGCCTCTGCTCATCCCTGCTTGCTGCTCAGGCACTTTGCACTTCTCACAGGGGTCATGTTCTGCACTAGAAACACCCAATAGGGGCCCAGAGAGCTCTGACTCTACAAAACCTGCATTTACTAAAATGAAACTCCTGTAAGCTGGTCCCTGCTTAATGTTCTTAACACCTTTAAAGCCTGGCTCTTCATTAAAAGTGGTGGTGGGTCACTCACTGTCCTATTGAGTATAACTTGCTATCTCCAGTATGACCAATGTTCCTACCAATCCAACTACCTGCAGATTGAATGCTGGTGAAGTGAAGCTGTCTCATGGCTTAACAGCTTGTTAAGGTGGCTGGAAGCTGTTTGGGGTTTGGGTGTTCTTCAGTACTAGCAATTACCCTGTGCTGTCTCTTGTGTGCTGTAGCCCTGTGCATGGAGGTGGGAGCCAGGCTCTGTGACCTTCTACAGCTGTGGCTGAGTTTGTGTCCTCTGACCTGCCAGGAGCATCATCCTGGTGGAGATGAGGGCAGGACCTGCTCCAGCTTCCTTGGCCTGTGGAGCCAGGGCACTAGAAAAGGACTTTTCTTTCTTTTCCCTCTTTTCTTCTGCCTTCAGGTACTGGTGCAGACCTGATTTCATACAGAAAGCAAAGCCTGGGTTTATGTGCATGGGGTGAATCTCCTGATGCAGTCTCCTGCTAGGGCAGGAGCTTGTTCCTGTGCCCTGAAGTGGAGCATTCAAGGAAAGCTTGGCTGCCTCAAAGTGGGTTTGGGTGGGACACAACCAGCCTGTACTGGGTGAGGGACCTGTCCAAGCCTGGTGCCCTGCTCTGGGAGCTCTCAGCTGTGACTGCATAAACTGACCCAGCCTGGCCATCCCCATTCTCCTTTATCACTGGTGTGAGTGGAAATCTACTCTGCCTGCCCTGTGGTGCAGCTCTGCTCTCCTGCAAGCCCCACACATGACTGTGATCTGCAAACCTCAGCAAGAAATAACTTTATTTTTGTCTTTTCCAGTACAAACACATTTTCAGCTTTAAAAATCTGAACAAATGTACAAAGTTTTAAACACAATAAAACACAGCCTTCTACCAGCATCACTTGGCAACTGCCTTGGAGCACTGCCTGTGCAAGGACAGCCCCATGAGCACCATCTCCTTTCCTCTCTGCAAGCAAAACCACAATAAAAATGCCCTATTTTTAGGAAGTTCCTTCACTTTTTAAACACGAATAGCTGAGAACTGGAATACAAACTGTCCATAGCTTCAAGTGACTCGTCAGGTATAGTCCAAATATAGCACCATTTTCCGGAAGGTCAGACTTCTTCCTTGTCCTGGGTTTGTTATGGCCAGTCCTGGCCTCTCTCTGCTGGAGGCAGCCAATGCTGTTGAGCTGCTCTGCCCCAGCCCTAGGAAGGGGGAGCCTGGCCCTTGGCTTGCCCTTCTCTTTGGTTGTTCTCTTTGCAGTCTGTTTTCTCCCTGTTGTGAGAGGATGGGGATGGGGCTTGGGCAGGGTTAGGGTTAATCCAGTGGGATGAGGGTTGGCTTGAGCCTCCTTCCTGGACTGGGGAAAAAGCCTTGGGTTTTGTTGTCCACAAGCAGGTTGTGCAGGATGCCCAAAGGCAGCTGGAAGCCGCCCCTTTGCTGGAGAAGTGTTCGGTAGCTGCAGCACGGCTCCAAATCAGCCAAGCCCAGAGCACCAGGAGTGGATTCAGGTGCTCGGAGCGTCTGGCAGCCTTCTGAGCTGGTGGGGATAAGTGAGCGGTGGGAGACCAGGTCCCCTCTCCATCTCACACAGCTCGACCATCATCCCTTGGCAGGAGAAAGCTTCTACCGCATCAGGGTAACACGATGTGGCCACAGTGATCCCCGCTGCCCTCGCCAGCCTAGAAGCATCTGATCCAGGGAGTTCATCCAGTTTCTACGGAGGAGAAAAGGCATCCAGATAAATCTCTGCTTTGTGCTGATCAGAGCACAGAGCTGCTCCTTTATCGGGTGGTGCAGCCTGGAGAGGGGGATGAGCACCGGGTGGAAGCTGAAGGCCAAGCTGGTGTGGAAGGGTCCATGAGCTGCAGTGCTGAGCTGATAGAAAATCATGTTCCTCTGCTATAAAGTGCCAGAGCTGGTCAGAGGGAGGCTCTTTCATTTCGTCTTCATCCTTTCTGGTAGTGAAGCCCATGTTGGCTGAGCACCAGGGGACATCCACACCAGGCTCCCTGGGAGAGGTGGCTTTTCTGAGCCCCAGCCACACAGTCCAGGCTCCTGCTCCATAGGGCAAGGCTGGAGTTGCTCGGGAACATGTTCAGTGTTTTCCAGCCTGCCTGTTTGTGGCAAAACAGCCAAGCTGGCTGTGTTAATCACGTCTTCTTCATCCCCAGGCTGAGCTGAGGTCTCAAGATGTCTTCTCAAGGGTACCCTGCTCCGCACTGGTGCGGGTCCCGAGGGCTGCTGGCATCCCAGTGAGCTCAGAGGAACATGAGAGGATGCAGACTCCTGCTCTGCACAGACAGAGCCTCACACTCAGCCCCTGGAGCTGCTGCAGCTCTCCTGCCCTGCCACGAGATGGGGAAAACCATGTTCACAGTTTCAGTGATAAAACAGGAGGGAAGCAGAGCTGGAGGACAGGACTGCTCCATGCCCAGCTCCTGCAGGGGTTTGTGGACACGTCTCCTGAGGGAAGACACAGGTTTTCCATAACCCTTCGTATCAGCCCCCGGTGTAAGCAGTGAGCAGAGCACAGTGGGATTGCGGGACATGGATGTCCTGAGGGACAGGTTTTAGCTGCTCAATTGGTTCTTCAAAATACAGCAAGGGACATGTGGACAGCAAGAGGAGACTGTAATCAGATGAGAACCATAGCAAGTGATTGTTCAAAAATATACATACACATACCATACATCTATATATGCGTGTGTTTTCCTAATGCAGATCCTCACATGCTCCGTAAGGAGCATGCACAGTGTAGATGGATTTATGGCACGCAAGGTGGGCTGCTGTCTCAGAAGGGGAAGGCAGCTCCCAGGGGATGTGTGGGCACATGTGTTCTCTGAGATCCATAATTCCTGTGGTGAGTTTTGCTCCCTGTAAGGAGCCCTGGCTCTTCTCAGTCCCTTCATTAAGATGCAGGTGGTCTTCAGGTCAGAGAACCTCTATTCCTCAGCTGGTAACTACAGGGGTTTAGTCTTCAAGAAGTGATAAATCCACGCAAACAAAATAAACATCCTCCCCTTTCTGCTTCCTGCTTCCTCCTGAATTGTCCTTCTGGGGTCATCAGCCCAGGAGCCAAAGCAATGCCCCAGCCAGAGCAGTGATGCTGCTGCACCAGGGTCAAGGCTGGCGGGTACCAATGGGCACGTTATGGAGGAGTGGGGCAGACAGGATTAAAAATAAAGGGGTTGTAGCAGCTTTTAATTTATCTTTTAATTTAAAAAAATATCCCAAGAGCTGTCGTCACGTTGGAGCAAGTCTGTGTGATGGAAGTTAACCCCGTCCTTCACAGGGAGGAGAAGGAAGAAGCACGTGGCAACACAGCTAATGCTGCTTCCCCTGCGCCTGCTCTTCCAAGTGGCCAACCTGCTCAGCCAGCTCGGAGACCTTGGCCTGGCAGTCCATCAGGTTGTCCTTCAGTCCCGTTATTTCCTGAGAGTGGGCAGCCAGAGTCCCGTTCATGTGGTCCATGTAGTCCCACAGGCTGCCCGTGTGTTTCTCCAGTTCATCCCTGACGCCATCCAGGCTTCCCGTGATGGCTCCCAGCCTGCCACAGGTGCTCTCCACCCGGGCCACCCGGTCATCAAAGTGAGCAATCTCCTTCTGCAGGTCACGGGCCACGTTCTTGCAGGAGCTCAGGTCGTTGATGATCCTGGCTTTGAGTCGCTCCAGGTCTCCCTTGAGGTTGAGGACACGTCGGTTGCTGAAGAACAGTTGGGAGCCTTGGTCATTGACTTTCTCCTGGATGGAGTGGACCTCATCCTCAATCTTCCGCTCGTGCTCATCCAGGGAGGAATTGACGTGTGTCACGGTGTCCGAGTACTGGGAGACGGAGTCCTTGAGCCCCGTCAGGGACTTGCTCACGGTGTTCAGGTTGATCTTCAGCAGGGTGATCTCCCCTTGCAAAGCCCCCGATGCTTCCTCCTCGATCCGCCGCTGGATCTCCAGGATGGTGGCGTTCAGCTTGCGCAGGAGGTCGTAGTTGCTGTCCATGCGCAGGAGCAGGTCCTGGTTCTTGTTCTGGCAGTCCTCGATCTCGGTGCGGAAGGTCTCCACGTCTTTGGAGGCGGAGCTGCAGCCCAGGGAACAAGTGCTCTCCAGCGTGACGAGGCGATTCTGCAGCACCTCCAGTGCCTCGTCTGTCTGTTTCCTCATGCTGGCGAGCTCCCCCTCCAGCACGGGCACCACCGCACCGTCCATTCCCATGGGAGAGCTCACATTGTTCAGCTCCCCCACGATGGTCATGAACCTGTCCTCCAGGGTCTGCACTTTGTCGTCAAAGGCAGTCCTCATACCGTCCACCTCTGCCATCACTGTGCCTCTCATGCTGTCCTCTATACCAGAACAGCAGCTCCCTGTTTCTCTCTCTGTAGCATTGAGTCTGGCTTCCAGGTCTTCAAAGCGCCCTTCAAAAAGGTTCCCTAGGGTGACAGTGGAGATTTCTCCATCCAGCCGGGAGTGCAAGTTCTTCTGGGACTCGGAGATGCTGTGGAGGCCTTTCTCAAGGATGTTCATGCGATCGGTGAGGTAGTCCAGGTTGCTGCAGCAGCTTTCCACCACTGTCAGCCCTTGGATCTGGGTCTCCAGCTGGGAGATCTCTTTCTTGATCTCGAGCTCCTTCCCATCCAGCGTCTGCTGCAGCCGCAGGTTGGCAGCTTTCTCCTCCTCGCACTGCTGCCGCACCTCCTGGATCCGGAAATCACACGTGCTCTGGAGCTTGCCCAGCTTCTTCTCGAAGCCGTCGAGCAGCTCCCCGCGCAGGTTGCTCAGCCTCGTGTCCACGTACTCCTCCAGCAGGTCGATGGAGGTGAGGGGCGAGGGCCGGGCTGACTCCAGCAGATGCTTGATCTGCCCGTCGTGGTCCAGGACCATGCCGCGCACCTCCTGCAGCAGGTCCGCCTTGGTCTTCAGCACGTCGCTCACCTCCGCCACCTTGGTCAGGATGTCCCCCACGGGAGGGAACGCGGCGATGTCGGCTCTGTCCGCCGCATCCACCAGGCCGTCGGGAATGACGCCGAAGC